CGTCGGCCGCAGGGCATCATCGCTCTGCGAAGTCCGCAGCGGGGCGCGCGCCCCCTCGGCCAGGGCCCCCCGCTCCCCATCCAGGCTCTTGGTGCGGGCGGCCGGCTCCTTGGCCCCCCCCCGCGGCCCCTCCAGGGTGAAGAGGTCGTAGAACTTGGAGCAGGAGGTGGCCAGGTAGACGCGGTGGGCGAAGACCCGCTGGCCGCCCTGCAGCTGGAAGACGACATCGGCGCAGAGCGGGGTGCAGAAGAGGGCGGCGGGGCCCCAGCCACGGCTTGCCGGTGGGTCGGGGACCTGGATGACAGGCGGTGGGGGCTTGGGGGGCAGGAAGGGGGCCTGCAGCAGCGGCCGCTGCATCTTCTTCAGGTGGGACTTCCAGAACTGGAGGTGCCGGCGGGAGATGAGAGCGGCCCGGATGGCGTTGTCGAAGACGTCCTTGATGCCGAACTGGGCCACCACACTGGTCTCGTAGTAGGGTACCCCCAGCTCCTTGGCCACCTCGTGGCCCCGCTCCGGGGGCAGGATGTCCGTGGGCTTGATGGGCCTGGGGGGGGAGGGGGAGAGTGGGGCTGTGTCACCGCGCACAGAGGGGCCCTGGTCCCCGGCCGGCCCCCCGGCCCCGCCAACCCCCACCCGCCCGGTGCGGCAGCCTCACTTGGCCAAGGGGCGCCGGGCCCGGTTGACGGCCTCCAGGTCGGCATAGCGCAGGTCCAGCTGGCACCCCACCAGCACGATGGGCGTCCGGGGGCAGAAGTGCTTGATCTCAGGGTACCACATCGTCTTCACGTGGCGCAGGGAGTTGGGGTTCGCCAGTGAGAAGCAGAGCACGACCACATCTGACCTGTGGCCAGGAGGAGGAGGAGGACGAAGAAGAGGGTGAGGGCAGCCCTGTCCCTGCGTGACCCACTGTCACCCTGCATCCCCAAGCCACCCTCTGCACCCCACCTTGCTCAGGGAATGGCACTGGGGTCCCATACCTGTCCAGGGACACACAGCCTGGGACCCCCCACCTACCCCGGCAGAGCTCTGCCCCACAGACCCGGGGAGCCTGATGGCCCCCGAGAGCCCCATGGCTGCGCACGGGAACAGCCAAGACCAAGGAGGGAGCCGAGGGCACCCGGCTCTAGGTCACCATGGTCAGCCAAGTCAAGGGCTGCCCCAGCTCGGGTACGGCACAGGGCCCCAGAAACACCCTGCAGAGCACCAGGGCAGCAGCCAAGCACAAGCGGGTGCAAGGAGGGGCCCACGGACAGCGGCCCGGTGAGTGCCGGAGCGTGTGCCGGCCCCTGGCACAGGCAGGGCTGCAGGGACTGACCCTGCCTGGACACCCCAAGCCCCTTCCCTGTGCCCGGCATGGGGCTGTCACACTACCGCCATCGTCCCAGCCCTACGCCGGC